GAAAGGACCTTCAAACTCATCCCATCCATAGCCCAGATTGCTCCACACCCCACCTAACCCTGAACACCTCCTGGGTGGGAAATTTGGGTTTGCAAGAGCCCTTGAAATGGCTCCAACCTGGGAACAGTAAAAGTATTCATAAACTTAGTGCATAGGTCATAATAATAGTATCAAATCTTTGTTTTAGCTGTAATGTTTAGAAGCACACTATAATTACACCAGTGTTAATAACAGGATAATTTCAATACGACTGAGAATAAAAGTATTTTTCAAARAACTTTGGAGGAATGGGAGGACGGGAAAAGGGAGAGGAGGAAGATGTCTGCTGAAATAGCCCTTGTTATGGCAGAATTTATAAGGGRGGAAAGACATCCTTTACAGAGGGGAGACTGAAACCAGTGATTTTTGTTTGATTTTAATCCTCATTTGCTGATGTGGGTGTCCATGAGCACACGCTGGGTCTATTGCAGGGTCAGGGCTGTTTGTGTAGCAGACTGCTTTATTGAACAGTGGCCATGGAATTCCAAAGGAYTTGTCAGCACACATATATCAATTATTCTCCAGAATGTTCTCTGAWGTGCAATAATTGATATGGAAATCAGTGGAACATGATTCCCCCTTTTTGTCAGCTTATGGAAGACTCAAACCTTGTGCTGTGTGTGTGCTGTGGGTTGTTGTTTGCCAGAAAGAGCAAAGTGTTTCATGTTCAGGAGCTGTGACCCCTCTTGTGTGACACACGATGGGGAAAAGTGTTCTTGTGTCTCTGTTTGAGCCTTGCTCTGAGCCTGTGCTCACATCCCGAGCAGCTGGGAAAGCTGCTCTTCCTCTTTGCCTGTTTTGGATGAAAATACATTATGCACTAGAGTTATGAATAAAAGATCAAGGGCAAATCTGTGTAATGTTTTACTCTGTATTTGTGAATAAACCTGGCTTCATGGCACTCACGCCTTTTGCTGGAAAATCCTTTCTAAGGGACACTCAGCCATTTAGTGTTACTTTATGCTTTTTCTTCAAARTGAAAGATTTGTTAGGGCTTCTCACTCTCACGTTCTGCTGGATTTGAGCAGATGAGAATTTCACTGTGTGTAATTCACACTGCTGGATCAGGGGATAATCCCTCATTTTAGCTCAGTATCACTTGGTTTTGCTTGGCTTCACTTTCTGAGAGCTCAGTCTCTGGAGCTGAGTGATGGGAGGGCCACTCTAGGAAGGATACAGCSCTGTTAGAGAGGTGTCTGGGTTAAAGGGTGGAGCCCTGCAAGGGTCTGAGCTGGTTCCTCCCAGGCTGTTCTTTGCCATGGGTTGAGGTTGGATTGGCAGTCCTGTGTGGGAGCACCAGTGCAGGACACCATTTCTGCCTCTCAAGGAAACACCTGGCCCTCATGCTGGGCCCAACTCAGACATTTCCTTGTTCCTCTGCCATGCCATCATTCTCAGAAACAGCCCTCTTCTCACTGGCTTGATGGACTTCTGTCCTGGGAAATGTTGCCTGGGCTCAGCTCTTAGCCACAAGCCTGCTGAGAAGCGCAGAATGTTACAGGGAACAGGGCTGAAGGATCCTTAGGTGGCACCTTGAAGTTGTTCCTGAATCAAAGTGCAAGTCTGGAACTGGAAGTACTGTTCTTCCTTTTTCATTTTAACTATTGTGTGTAAGARTCACACAGAGCAATGAAAGCTCCCATGTGGCTTTTTAGCTGGACTCTGCTGTCCAAAATCCAACGTGGGTATATTTTTTTCCCTAGAATCACTCCTTCATTTTCTGCTACTTTCAGTTGCTCYTTCTCTGAGCACCTCAAAGCTCTGCTTGGTGTTTGTTGTTGATAAACAGCTTCCACATTTCTCACTATGTGTGGGTGACTTGATTCGAATTTCCAGCCCTGTGTTCCCTCTGGAGATGGGAGGTGATACACACACACACTGTTACTACAGCCCAGCTAACACTGCCCTTYCTTTCTAACACCCATTGCTGCTGCTTTTCAGACACCTATTTCTAACACTGRCCAAATTCAATAGTCAGTTGTTCCRTGATTTTCTGAAATGCCAATTTAGCACTTTGTCATAAGGAATGACCTCAAACCTGTGAATGATGTYGCAGCATTCATGGATTGGCTTTCAGCACAGCTGTGCTGGGACTTTTGGAACATACACTTTAAGCTCAGGCTAAATTTTCCCTTGGCTGTGCTGAAGGTTATGAAGACATCTGTCAGAAGTGAGAAGTGCTTCATCCTCCTCCCTTTGATGGATGCTGCTTTTCTTTCCCATCAGTACTGTAGCTGCTCCTTGGTGTGGTCCTGACACATATTTTACATTTAGGTCACCATGTATTTGGCCCAGATTTTAAAGTTTCACTCTTTCAGGCTGCATTTTGATGGATTTGGCCCATGGCTTGTATTTAGCTGGGGAGCATTAYGTGATGCTTTTACTACTGAAGTCATTTCATCAAAGGAAATTGTGTTACAGTGAAATGATTGGAACGTCCTGTGTAAAGAAATAAAAGCAGGTGCTGAATTGCTTTCATTATTATTTGAAAAGTGCAGATGCATTTCTGAAGCTGTTGTGATTAAAATTCTAAGGTTTTTGTTCTTTTCAAAGGGCAATTCTGATGATAATGTTTCAAAAAGGTTTCGAGCTTAGAGCTGTCTGTACTGGCTTATCACACAGAACCCGTGCCTGATGCTTGGCAGAGCTTGTCAGGAGTCACAGGTTTTGGTAACTCCTGTCACMSGTTTTGGTAACTCCTGTCACCCCTGTTCCCTGAGCACCTTCACATCACACTCACTGTGGTGTCCTGGCCCTCAGAGCACTGCCTGGCTGATCCTCACCCCCAGTCTTGGGCCTTTGGTTGTTGATCATGAGCAGATCACAAACAGTTCTTCTGCAGTTTTTACTGGGAGAGGGAATTGATTCTTCAAGCCCTGCCAATAGGGCACCTCTGCCTTCATGAAAATGTATTTTAATTTTGCAGCATATTGCCTAGCATGGACAACTGAAATATTTGGAAAAGCCGATGCAATTCTCCCCGCTTTGAACAGGGACAGCACTGTCACTGTCACCATTCCCTCTGGCTGGTCATGCAGATGTTAAATCCTGTCTGCACTGACTGCACCAGGCTCTTTAAAAAGTAATGAAGACATTTAAGTGAACATGATCTCACATCCCACCTTTAAATCCTCTGTGAAGGGTTACGGAGCACTTGACCTGCATTGCTTCAGCTGCTCTGCAGACCCACAAGGGCAGGATACAGGACTTGGACCTTTCTCTGAGCCACAGGCAGCATGCTCTGTAGTAGCACCAGATTCTGCTGGTTTGAAAACAGGGGTCCTGCAGTAAGAGACAGACTCTTTGCTCAGAAGTGCAACAGTTGCTTCAGAATGAATGAATTAATCTAAAAATCAAGAGTTTGATTAASTGCTCAGCTCTGATTTAATTTGAAAAGTCTGTAGGTACACAAATAATGATTTTCTGTCTTAGCCTTGAAAAATTACTCTTTTTAGCTATTTTGTTTTAAATTATGGCCATATTTTCAGAAGAATCACTGAAGTATCTGAAACCTCMGTTGGTCAGAGCATGGTGCTAATAACACCAAGGCTGTGGATTCGATCTCGGTGTGGGCCATTTACTTAAGAGCTGGGCTCAATGATCCATAACACTTTCAACTCAGAATATTCTGTGAGTCTGTGAACTTAACTGCAGTCAGCAAAATCTGCCCATGCACGGTGACTCCCTCACGCTGAGATTTCACTCTAAAGCTTTTGGTCAACGTTTGAGCAAAAGGCTTTCTTTTATCATATGTTTATCATTCCAAGTGGAGTATTTTTGCCAGGACACACCAATTGTGCCCGGCAGTGTGGGCACTCCGGGGAGCTGCGGCTCCTCCGTTGGTTTCGGCTGCCGGTGCCGGGTTCGAGCCGTTCCGCCCAAGCCGGGGCTGTGCAGTGGGGCTGCCTGGGGTCCCGGCTCCGCTCTCCGTGCCCGCAGCGCCCGGGCCGAGCAGCGGGGACGGACACGAGGTGGCGGTGCCGGAGCGCCCGCGGCTCCCCGTTAGAGACCCACAAGAGAAGCGGGCGCGGGTCCTCCGCACGGCCGGAGCCGCCCCCGGTCCCTCCTCCTCCCTCCGGCGCTCCTCGGCGGGTCCCCTCCCTGCCGCTCCGGGGAGAGGAGGAGCGGCGGCGGAGGAACAAATCCCGGTCCTGCCCGGCAGCCGCGGCCGCGCACCGAGAGCCCCCGCGCTGCCCGTCCGAGACCGGCTGAGACCCCGCGGACCCGGGACAGACACGGTGCGGGCGGGCAGGGGACGGGCGCCTCCGCCCGAGGGGACGGAGCGGGAGGGACTTGGCCGCAACTCGAGCCGAGCGGGCGGCAGCGCTGCCCGGCCCCGGCCCCTCCGGCCTCGGACACGGTGAGCCGGTGACTGACGCTGTCCGCGGTGCTGCTGCCGTCCGCGGTGCTGCCTGTGCCCGGCTGTGCCCGGCTGTGCCCGGCTGTGCCCCGCTGTGCCCGCCTGTGCCCGCCTGTGCCCCGCTGTGCCCGGCTGTGCCCCGCTGTGCCTGTGCCCGGCTGTGCCGCTGTCCGGCTGTGCCCGGCTATACCCCGCTGTGCCCGCCTGTGTCCGGCTGTTCCCCGCTGTGCCGGTGGCCCGCTGTGCCCTGTTGTGCCCAGCTGTGCCCGGCTGTGCCGGTGTCCGTGTGCCTGTGCCCGGCTGTGCCCCGCTGTGCCCGCCTGTGCCCGGCTGTGCCCGCCTGTGCCGGTGTCCGGCTGTGCCTGTGCCCGGCTGTGCCCGGCGCTGCCCGGTTGCGGCGCTGCCCGGTGCCGGTATCGGGACGCGGGCGCCCATCCCGGCCCGACTCCTTTAAGATGATGCAATCGGCATCGCCCTCCGCGCTGCCGGCCCCGCGCCGCTGAGCGAGCCCGGAGCGCGCAGCGGGGCGGAGCGGAGCGGAGCGCGGGGCGGCCCCGGCAGTGCCGGCGGTCCCGGCGGGCCATGGGGGAGCCRCCGACCGCGGAGCCGCCGCGGGAGCCGCCGGAGCCCGCCAGTGCCTAGCGCAGGCTGCGGGCTTTCTGCAAGTCATCGGGGCCGGCGGACGCGCCCCCGCTGCCCTCCCGCTCCCCCAGCCCAGCGCATCTACTCGGGAATAATTTCATTTATTTATTTATTTATTTATTTTCCTCCGCCGTGCTGTATGTGCTTGTTTCCTCATCACCCGGCACGGTTAACTTCCCTGTGACTCGGTTTAACACTCGAGACCTCCGCGGATGCTGCTAAGAGCACTTCTCTTGCCTTTGCTGTCCCTCGCTGGGATCGGATTCACACTACCCGGACCCTGTGTGCCTGTATGTTTGTTCTGAGTGTCTTGACATTTGGGTTTTTTTTACAAGAGCTGTGCATTAATTGTAACAAGGTAAGACTCCCTGTTCTTGTTCCCTCATGTGCATGTCTAATTTAGATGTTTCTTTAAARATGAAGTATGCAGTTTCTTTTCAACAGTGGAGTCCTATTTAGCCCTTCCATTGATGAATACTTGTGAAATAGAAGTGTAGAACTTGCCAAAAAAAAGGAGACCTATTTAGCAGATTTAGCTTGGCTCTACAAACTGCTCTGCTTTGCTCTGTTGCAGCAGCTGTGATGCTTAGAAGAGTAATTTGTGCCTTATTTTGTTCTCCCTTTTCACAGACCTGTGAATGACCATAGGCTTGGCTTGACCTTGATTTTGATGGCTTTGTTGGAAGATCTAATGATGTGATTGCATTTCACGAGGTGGTTGCTCTCCAGCCTCCAGCCTCCGTGGCTCAGTGTATAAACCACTTCTGCCACACTGTCACTCATGGACAATTCAGATTTTTTTCTAAACAATCCTTTTGGCTRTTTTTATTTTCTCACTTCTCCTTTCTCCCCTGTTTCTCTTTAATGTTGGGAGCCTTATTCTACCCTCTGATGTGATTGATAGTCCTGCTGCTCCGTGCTGCTGATTTCCAGTTTAAACTACAATGGCTCTAAGTGGTAACTGCAGGACTTACCTTCCTCCTCGGGAGCAGGGGCCGGGGCTGCACTCCTTCCCCGAGGTGGTGGAGCTCAACGTGGGCGGCCAGGTTTACTTCACTCGCCACTCCACCTTGGTGGGCACCCCTCACTCCCTGCTCTGGAAAATGTTCACCCCAAAGAGAGAYACAGCCAATGATCTCGCCAAGGACTCCAAGGGAAGATTCTTCATTGACAGAGATGGTTTCCTTTTCCGCTACATTCTGGACTATCTCAGGGACAAGCAAGTGGTTTTGCCTGACCACTTCCCAGAGAAGGGAAGGCTCAAGAGGGAGGCTGAGTACTTCCAGCTCCCAGACTTGGTCAAACTCCTGACTCCCGAGGACAACAAGCAAAGCCCCGATGAYTATTGCCACAGTGACTACGAAGAGGTGTCCCAAGGCAGTGACACGAGAATATGTGCCCCCTCATCGCTCCTACCGCCGGATCGCAAGTGGGGATTCATCACCATCGGCTACCGCGGCTCGTGCACTATTGGCAGGGAGAGCCAAGCAGATGCCAAATTCAGGAGGGTCCCAAGGATTTTGGTTTGTGGAAGGATTTCTTTGGTCAAAGAGGTCTTTGGAGAAAGTTTGAATGAGAGCAGAGACCCAGACAGGGCTCCAGAAAGGTACACCTCCAGGTTTTATCTCAAGTTCAAGCACCTGGAGAGGGCTTTTGACATGTTGTCAGAGTGTGGATTCCACATGGTGGCCTGCAACTCCTCGGTGACAGCTTCCTTCGTCAACCAGTACACAGACGACAAGGTCTGGTCCAGCTACACCGAATATGTCTTCTACCGTAAGTACCAGCCGGGGGACAATGTCACCCCGTGCTCTGGGCTGCTCTCCCCGCTCCCCGTCCATCCCCAGAGCACGGGGAGCGCCGGTTCCCGTGCCTGCCGCAGTCCGAGCCTGTGTTTAGATGCGAAGGGATACATTTCAGTGTGATTTTTGGAGGTGTGAAGGGAGGCTGGGCTCGCCGGGCTGGCCCTGGCTAGGTGGCAGCACAGACTGCCGAAAGCTCCCTCCCTGCCCGTGCCTGGAGGACGCGGTGCCTCTGGCAGTGTAAATCAGCATCCGAGTGCCTTGCACACTTGCCGGTACGTGTGGGACACAACACGAGTGTGCAAACACTGCATTTTCATTCTGGAATTCATGACAGAAAACCTACGAATGGGATTCACTTTGCAAAAGTAGTAGCGGYTTGATAATCATCAGGCGCAGGCAGCCAAGCCATCTGTCAGCAGCCCTGCCACGCTTCCACGCAGGGAAGGGAAAACACAATTCCATCCCTCCGGCCACATTTCAGCGGGGCCCTCTCAGAGGCAGCTGCTGGGCTCTGGAATCGGGGCTCAGAGCAGAGAGGGGCAGGGGCTGTGCTTTGTTATGCAACATGCCCGTGGAAAAGAAAGCGTTCTCCCCAGGAGAAGCGTGCGCCCTGCTTCCCGCAGTCACATCGGATCCGCACYGCTCCGCCGCTCGGAGCCGCGAGCGCTCAAGGGCTCATTAACTTCTGAGCTGCTCGCCAGGTACACGCTGGTTACCCATGGTAACACCGGGCTAATCTAGATTCCATGGAGCTGGAGCAGAAAATCATTCCACARCTGCTGGGCTGAAACATTGGAGAGGTTCGTGAGGCTGCTTTCCTCCATTTTCATTTGAGGAGGATGAAGGATG